ATAATATATATATATATATATATATGTGTGTGTGTGTGTGTGTGTGTGTGTGTGTGTGTGTGTGTATAAAACCTTTATAATATATACATGTATATATATATATATATATAAAACTAGAAGAAATAAATAATAATAAAATAATAAAATAGTGGTAAAGATATATATATATCCCTTTGTATGTGTGTGTGTGTGTGTGTGTGTGTGTGTGTGTGTGTGTGTGTGTGTGTGTGTGGGGGTGTGTGTGTGTGTGTGTGTACGATCGCCGAACGAAGTGCATAAAGTAGCAGAGGCGTATCGTACGGAACGGCAATATTTTGCATAATAACTTGGGAATGAAAAAATCGGCCCGATGGATGCCGCAATTGCTCACAATGCATCGACTCATTTCTCCGCAGTCGCCACAGCCAAATCGAATTGCGCTATGAATTGCTGCCGCATCCACCGTACTCTCCGGATTTAGCTCCCTGTGATTTCTTCTTGTTTCCAAACTTGAAAAAATGGCTCGGTGGAAAGAAATTCACGTCGAATAAGAAGGTCATCGCCAAAACAGAGGCTTATTTTGCAGAATTCGACAAATCGTATTTTTCTGAGGGGTTAAAAAAATGACAGAATCGTTGAGAAAAGTGTATCCTCCTAAAAGAGGATTACGATAAAAAATAAAAAATAATTTTGTGAAAAGCTTGCGTCTTCATTACTAACACGGGCACTTATTGATTTGCCTCGTAATGTGAGAAATTTGCAAGCGGTTAGGGTGAACAATGCGACTATTTTTCTTTATCTTAATTTTAACATTATTTTTGTTTAAAATTTCCAAGACTTCATGAGGTCTATTGATCTCGAAATTTTCCGGGTTTTGGTCCCTTTAATAAAAATACATGATCTCCAAGCTTGAATTTCTGTGGATTAATTTTCTTATCGTAATGTTTTTTTTATTTAACTTTAGCTTCTGTGATGTTTTCATGAGCATTTGTTTGGATTGCATGGAGTTGTGTAACTAAATTTATTAGATAATCATTGTAATTAGCTAATTTGTCTTTAGGATTTAAGAATTCATTTGACAGTACTCTTGCTATTTTACCGAACACTAATTCATATGGAGTATGTTTCATAGCCTCATGAATGCTAGTGTTGTAATTAAACACTAAGCCGATTCATCTGTCCCATTGTTTCTGCTCGTTTGCGTAGTGTTTCAAGTATTTTCCTAATACGTGGTATGATCGTTCTAGGGATCCATTTGATTGAGAATGAAATGCAGTTGTACGGAATTTACGGATTCTGAATATTTTTGTTATTTTCTTCATTAATTCACTGATAAAATTTCTTTTTTGATCGGTTAATATAACTTTAAGCGCTCTTAATACGCAAACAAATCTATCGACAAAAGCTTCTGCTATTGTTTCTGATGTCTGATCCGGGTAAAGGTATTCCCATGCAAAATTTAGTTAACTGGTCTTGCAGGGTTAAGATATACCAGCTTGATCAAAAAGTGTCCGGAAGAGACCACCAGGTGATGCTCTGAGTCAGCTGATTTGAGTTCTTTTTTTTGGCTAGGTTGCCACATCTATCATTGACATTTCCATCAAATTTTATCGCCATAGCTTGACATTTGTAAAAATTACGCCGTCTTGAGTACATCTACCTCTGCGCGTGTTTTCGATTTTTTACAGTTTTAAAAATGGAGTTGAATTTGCAACAACGAGTTTGTAACAACGAATACCATCCAACAGCCATCGAATTCACCCGATATGGCTCCCTGCGATTTTTTTCTGTTCGATCGAGTCAAAAAACCTGCGGGGAACG